TTCCCTCCCCCCACCTACAATTCCTGCCGGACCTGAGACTCGAACTCGCAACCTTTGGATTATGAGTCCGACTCTCTAACCATTAGGCCACAACTTCCCAAAGGTCTAAACATGTAAAAGATGTTAAAGGTCTGCAGTAACTCCACAATTCAGTACTACATAGTTCACAGTCTTTGTAACGTGTTTTCAGCAATACATTTCTAAAATGTATAATGTGTTTAGAAACAATTCTCTGAATTGCCTTTACACAGACTTTAAGTCTTCTTGTAAAAAGAATAGCTCTAATTGAGCTTTGCACATAGTGGGAGGCTCTGCTTTAACATAGATATTTTGCACTTAGAATGACAAAATGTTTCCAAACTCTACAGAAATACATGTTTAACGGTGCTTATTTGGTACTTAATAGATTCAACAGTCTGTGAATCTAGAGAATCCTTAATAAATTCAGGCAAGAGAGAAATCCAAAACATTCCAGAAGTGTGGGAACGATGCTGGTGCTCAAAAGAGCATTCTTGTGAAATAAGTTATTCTCATTTATGCGGTGGGCTGCAATCTACCATGATCAGTCTTGATTTAATGGCAAGTGATTTCAGCTATACAAAATCATGCAGTATACACCTACTATGCCGAATCATGCTCTCGATGGAAAATGCAGCAGTTCATTGTGAGGTCAAGCTCCTGCAGTAACCCTTTATAGAGTGTCAAAAGGATCACAAGTAGACATCTGGGTTGTTATTTCCTGTGCCGCACAGCTTCCCTCGCTCTTGATCAGCGCAATGAACATAATGCACAAGACAGTCATTGGCATGCCTCTCCGCTCTGATGCCTGAGGGATGTGATAGTAGGAGTGGAATGTGACACCGAATGGATTTGGAGACACAAGCGGCGCTGGGAGGATCCAGATCTTCCCTGCACAGGATCAGAGAGCCAAGTAAACAAGCGATAACTCCTACAAATGGCCGTGGTGATAAGAGTGCTTTCAGTCACACGGCCATGATGGAGATTTGATCCGTCTGTCATGGTGAATAGAGAAAAGGAGATTCCCACTGTGTCAAGTCCAGGTCACCCAAAGCCCTGCAGCAGGAGAGCAGCTTTTTATGGACACCAGGCTGTGTGTTTTGGAGATTGTCAGTCCTCCCATCAACCGGCCAAAGTCATCACACACAGAACAAAGACACAGTTCTTCTCGTCTGACAATGTGTTTGAAAATCTGTGTATATATGGAGCGTGCATGGGGTTTGTTCTTGTCATGCAGTTAGCGCATCATATCTGCTTTGAGATCACTTCCAGTCTCTGCATGCCGAGCATGATGTGATGAATTTGGTCCATTAGTATTCATCTTGCATGATAATATACATGAATACAACAGTAAAACTGAAGATGATGATAGTGAACCTGTCACCGAATGTACTGGACCACTAGAGCAGTGGCCCCATGGCAGAAAAAAAAAACATATCCCTTATTTACTGCCACCACCCACCCAATAATTAATCAGAAATGGGCTGTTACGTTACGCAGAAGATTTCCAGATGCAAAACAATCCGCTTTATATCCACATCTGAGAGACTATAAAAGTGGTTTAATTGACCAGAAATGTCAGTAATCAGAGCTGCACAATACATTTTGCAAGTGTAAAAAATATTGTGTTCAAGCCTGGTTTGCAAGACAATTACATGTTCTGTATATGATGATATGTTCATGACTCTAGGTAGGAGCAGAGAAGGACCTCCCAGAAGGAAAGAACTTTAGGAAGCTCTTTTTCTTATACTTAGCTATTTCATAAAACATTGAAGGTGGGAGAGAGCGCTGTACATTCACTCCCCCCACCTACAATTCCTGCCGGACCTGAGACTCGAACTCGCAACCTTTGGATTATGAGTCCGACTCTCTAACCATTAGGCCACAACTTCCCAAAGGTCTAAACATGTAAAAGATGTTAAAGGTCTGCAGTAACTCCACAATTCAGTACTACATAGTTCACAGTCTTTGTAACGTGTTTTCAGCAATACATTTCTAAAACTTAAAATTTGTTGCGAAACAATTCTCTGAATTGTCTTTACACGGACTTTAAATGCAATACACTCATGGCACTGCTTGTCATTGTGGTTCTGCTCATCAAAAGGCAATCATTACTTATTTTGAAAAATGATGTACAGTGATTTGCTTTTAAAGAATAAAAAGCAGAATTTATGGCAGAATGAAGCATAATCCACTCCTTGAATTACATTCCTCTTTACACTAAATTTGGATTATTAAAGATGAGATCTATAATAGCTGCAAAATGCCACACATTAACAGGGAAGATTTCTGCTTCAGTGAACCTGACAAAGCAAATGAATAAAGTAGTGCAATTTGGACCGTAAGTGGCTGTGAAATGCCATGTCTGGAGGCAGAAAGTGCTTAGTAAAGTGGGGTTTTGTGAAGTTTTTTTATTTTTTTATTTAGTGACTTAAAAAAAAATTATAATTTTAATGCACAGGGGGATGGTTAAAGTGGAGCCTGAATATGATGACAATATGGTGACTTGCAGTCAGATGGTGTACGACTGTTATGCCTCCGAAAAACCAAACCAAGTAAGATTTCGGTTTTGACACCACATTCACTTTATGCAACTAATATTTACTGCACTCTTGGTAGTCTTTGCTTTAATGTTTGTTAGGAAAAAGCTGAATATTCTGTTTTCCCTTCGGTTCATCATGTAGGCATCTGGTTCGTCGTCCAACAGTGGTATTTCCAGCAACTATATGATCTATGAGGATATGCAGTCCCTGGTCACCGTGCTTGATTCTGAAATGGGCCAGAGCATGCGTGTATACGGAAGCACTTTTCTGTGGTTCATTCCATTTGTCTGTTCCATAATGGAAATTCCAGAGCTCAATGCTTCCTATATTAGTGAAGTCATCCACTATCTTTGTGATAAGATACGAGAAAATCGACGGATGCTAACCGGACAGACAAGTGTGTGCGATAAAGTGACCGAGTTCTTCATTCGTATCCTTATTCAAATTGTTAAGCTACACTCTACTGAAGGGCGAATGGGAATACTTTCTCGCTGTGCCCACAAGTGGGTGGAAGAGATCGTCTTGTGCATCGTCCTATCGGATGAACCACGTGCACCACCAGACAGGATGGGTGGAATTCACGGAGTCAGTTCAACCTCATACAACCTTGGGATCGTTGGAAGGCTGCCTGCATCTGGAGGTGGCATTGGTGCCATAATTCATGGCTGCATGAAACTGATTCGACTGCTGCTGAAAGAAGGGATAAGGCGATCTGTCCAAGACTCGACCCACTTTTTGAAACTGCTTAACAAGCAGTTGCGTGTTGCAAACAAACGATGGAATCTAACACGTTCTGAATCTGATGAGCTTCAAAAGTGTTTGTTAAGAGTTGTCCGGTCGATGCCAGAAAGACCTGATTCTCCACTCCCTGTTGTTCCACCCTCATGTGCACCATCAGTGGAGGCAGCTACAAACACTGTTATTTCCAGAAATTCAGTGCCAACCCTGCATCAGCAACGACATGAGGACCAGGAGGCAGGTCCGAGCAGAACAGGAGATGCATCTGCTTTTATCAAAGAGGAGCCACTTGGGAATTATGGAAATGACATCTTTGATGAGGATTTCTGCAGCGGTCTTGGGTTAAAGGCTAAGAAGGAACCCCCTGACCCGGTGTCAATTTCAAAGCTGAGACCAGTTGTTCGGTTGGAATGTATCAAACCAGATCTGGGTAAAGTGCAGGAAATTCGATCCAGATTAAATGATAACCAAAATTTGTCAAAGATCAAAGCCATTGCCAAACAAAAACCTGATGAGTCCTTAAGACCTTTTCATTTGGCATCAGCTAAAGTGGAATGTGGTTTTGGAGCTGCTGAGGAGGATGATGACGATGAACCCCTTGATGTCAGACGAACCCGTTTGATAAAATCTGTCAACCCCAAGGTTGAATCTAGCGACTCCGAAGTTGACAGTAGTGCTGTTGGAAAAACTCATAACAGGTCCATGGGCAGCTCACTGGAAAATGTGGAGTCCAGTACCATTGTTATCTCCGATGAGGATTCTGATAACGATGAAAGGCCAAATGACATCCTAAGGTCTCCAGAAGATCGTGTCTTGCCTGAGAGTCCGGGTCGTGATTATGATGATCTCAGTGAATCACAGGTCTTCGAGTTTGAGACCCAGCAATATGTGGCATCTTCCTGGGATGATTCAGATTTTGATGCATCAGTCTTGACTAAGAAGCCCAAATCAGACCAACTACTCAAACCACAGGTGGATGAAGCTCCTCGTGAAGTGTCTCCAAGTTCAGAGACTGAACTAATTCTAGATGAGGACACTGAAAGGGCCTGTCAGCAAGCAGAAGATAAGATCAGAGAGCAGCAGCCACAAGAGCCAGCGGATTCGTGTGCATCATCACGGTCCAAAGCATCCAGTACTGCAGAAAGCTGGGATAAATTTGTCAAACCAAAACCTCTGCTGGTTAAAAGTGCAAAAACAACTCCATCTGATAAGAAAAGGCCTAAAAAGCCATTGATAATTGATGCCCTTGCGCAAAAAATCAGACGCCACCCCTGGAAACGCAACTCCACATCTCAGGACGTAGAGGAACCTTCCTCTTCAACTACTCCATCCTCATGTGGTATATCATCTTCCTCTCTGTCCTCCAGCTGTGTTTCCTCTTCTTATTTTTCTGCCCCCAGTTCACATGGCACCCCTGCCATTGTTCCTCCAAAGAAAGTGCGTAAAGTTGAGCCAGAATCAACAGCAGAGCGTTTAGGATTAAAAAAGAAGGAAAGGAAAGCCTTTGAACTTTCTCAGCGATCCCTGGATTGTGTTGCTAAACTGAGGTGCCATGGCCAAAAAGTGCAGGTGGAACCACAACAGAAGACAAGGCGAGTGTGTCGAGCCACTAAGACTTCTCCACAGAAACGTATTGTAAAAAGCAATAAGAAACTTCTGGGATCGCAAGATATTCAGTTTTTCAGGCAAAGTCGTGAGAAGCATCAGAGGCCAGCAACATCAGGAACCATCGCAACATTCGCTTCCAAACCAGCAAAGATCAATCAGCCGGGTGAAGTGCACTTGCCAAAACCTACAGTTGCAAGCAGCGAGGCTGGTGATTTCTTTCCCTGTTCTCAGCCAGGTCCTGACCATCAGCAGGATAATGAAAGTGCTGCATCAGAAACCAGTTCTAAAGGTGATGGGGTTGGAAATAAGAGAATAGAATCCAAGTACTTCCAAGTCAGTGAGACTGCTGATGTCAACATGGAAGAAGAAAAACCTACTTTGGCATCAAAAGAGGAGGAGGAGGAGGAGGATTATGATGATGATGATGAAAAAGAATGGATGTTCCTCACTCAGATGGAACCCACCGATATGGAACTGTGCTCTCAAATGGAGCAGTTGGAGGAAGAAAATGGTGAAGAACTCTTTCTTACCCAGAGAGATCCGGTTGACATGGACATTGATACGGATAGTGAGCCAGATACCCCGGGGCAACTAGTGTTGACACCTAAACCAACTCAGACTCATAATGGTGGAAATGATGATCATTTGTTCTTGAAGCCTGGCATGTCACCCATGTCTCAGAAAAAGGCCAAACCTTCCACCACAAAAATATACACCCCCAGCTCCCGCAGTGCCTCACTTGTCCTTGAAATGGAAAAAGGAGCTAAGCCTCCTTCTGTTGCTAAAGCGAAGATTCCCCGACTGCCCCCAGCAAAGCCACCTCCAAAAACATTTCAACCTCTCCATCCCTCACAATTCCCGAAGCCACTTCCTTCACAGCAATCTCCTTATGCTCCTAAGTTGGTCACTAGTGCTAAAATAAGCTCTACCTTGGAGCCACCATCTTACAAGGTATACCAAAGACCTGAGACTCCAGTTAACAAACCAGTACCTGCGATGGATCAGAGCCCGAAGTTTGACCTTTCAGTCTTGACCCAAGCAATCCTTAAATGGGAATATAGGATGCTTGACAATTACAAAGCATTTGGGAGTCCACATGATCTATGCCAACTACCGCTGAAGAAGGTGCCAGTTATGTTTCCCAGCTACCTGGAGTACTTCAGCACCTTGTATCCCCTGCTGCAAATTAATGCATTTGAAGAGGTGGGACTACATCTTATTTCTGTAATGCCTCAATATTTGGATTGAGTTAGGACTGAATCTTATACAGTTAATTTGTTCTTGTCCTGCTGTATAGCACTCTATTACAAAGATAAGAATTGGACTTTGTACCAGTGTTAATGTTAATCAATTTCAATAGATGGCTGGTGAATGGCTCAAAGAGGGCAGAGTCAAGCTTCACCTAACAGTCCAGGGTATAGAATACAGCAATCGCACAGCTAGTGCCAGATTCACAGGTAAGTCCAGCCATGTTCAGTAAAGTGTATTCTGATACAATTACAATATTTAATAGTTTCAGCTGGGGGGGTATACTTTCAAGTATCAACCATTTCATAAAGTTTTACTACTTTTTGTAGCAAGCATTTCTCAGGAAACTGATATGAAACAACTCTACCCGAAAGAAGATGACCTTGTGCTTCTTTGGTTGCCTGACAACACTGGGGCATATGCCCATGATGAACCTAATTTCCATGAACCACATCCTCATTTCGGTTATGTGTCCCGGTCCAGTGTTTCTAAAAGAGATCCAGGTGTGTGACTTGTGTTGTGTCATGGGATTGTGTACATTTGTCCACTGTCTCATTACTCTGTCCCTCATCAGGTTCCAGGTCAACCCTAAACTTGACGATTCAGACTCGTGGTAATGTATCTTCGGTGAATTCCCAACCTGTGCTCTGTGAAGTTATTGGGTCATTGATCAGCATATTCCGGGAGTTCCGTGCGCTGTGTTTGCTGCGAAATGGACCAATGTTGCGACCTCTTCTTGCTCCAAATGGGTCTTATTTCACACACACTCTGGATAGCCCACCAGACCTGGATTCACCGGTGAGTTTGGGTTTATCTGAAGCAGTTTTTCCTAATCCTGGTCCCAGGGACTTAAAGCATTGCACATTTTTGAATGTCACCTTTGTTTAATACACCAGGTTCAAATCATCACTACTTTAGCAGAGAGTTCATGAACTGAACTGGGTGTGTCCGATAAGGGATGCAAACCAAATGTGCTGTGCTTAGCTATAAGCATTTTCGTCCAAATTCACTTATTTGTAGAATGTTTTGCGTCAAAATGTAACCCTAGACAACTGTTCTTGTTTGTGTTTGAACTTGAGTACCTTTTGTTGGACGAATGTGTAAGTCCAATAAGTGAACCTGATTTTGATCCCACATGTTGTCATAATGTGCGCTCTCTCTTTCGCCACTTCTTTCTTTGCATTCTAGGAGTTCAACAGGGACCAGGCAAGAGCAATAGCTTGTGGTCTTGCCATGATACAGAGAACGCAGAAGACCCCAAAATTTCTCCTCATTCATGGTCCTCCAGGAACCGGGAAGAGTAAAACCATTGGTGGCCTGTTGTACAAACTACTGTCTTCGGTATTTTTTAAATGATGATGATGATGATGATGATGATGATGATGATGATGATTATTATTATTTTTGTAGTATTGATCTTTATGCCTGCATACTGTGCATGCTCACAAGGACACCTTAATCTGCAGCTTTAAAGATACTTTTTTTTAAATTTTATTATTATTTTTTTTTTCTGAGTGTTTTGTGTGGTTATCTGGTCAGGGTACTAACAGTGCTGCTTCTGCGGGGAACTTTCACTCCAAGTCTCGACGGACCCGTGTTCTTCTCTGTGCACCCTCAAACGCTGCCATCGACAGTCTGATGAAGAAAGTAATTTTGATCTTTAAAGAGAAATGCCGAAACATCACCGCTCCTCAAGGTTCTGAGCTTGCGCACACATTGACAACTGAAAAAAGCGTGTATGCCATATACTGTCACATTAGAGCATGTTTCACACAACACTTGTGTACAGGTAACTGCGGTGACGTAAACCTGGTACGATTGGGAAGTGAAAGGACCATCTCTAAGTCACTAAAACCTTTCAGCCTCGACCACCAGACTAAAGCTAGAGCACGTGAGCGAGAAATTGATGCATTTACGTTTCAATAGTTAATGCATATGCATGTGGTGTTAATGTATTGTATTGTGTGTGTGTGTGTGTGTGTGTGTGTGTGTGTGTGTATATATAGAGCGAGCCCAGCAAACTGTAGAAGCTGACATACACAGGCAGAAAGAGCAACTGGACCAAAATATTGACAATCTCTCCCAGCGATGTGCAAAGACCAAGAAGGATTCTTCTGAGGTAATGCATCCTCCACACACGGTTTTCTAAAAGACAAAGAATATGGATATCATATTTATTTTTGTTTTAATGCAGTCTTGAATATTATTTTTTATTTTTTTTCCATGGGTTGGTTGACAGTTCAAGATGTTGATGGAGCAGAAGTTGCAGCTTCTGAAGGAGAGAGAAGGACTGAGTCGGCAGATTAAAGAGGTAAACAGTCCCATTTGTTCACAGACATATTTCACAGTACTTGCTCTATTAATACAAACAAATGTATCTTTTGTCTCTTTCTTAGTGTCGCAGTAGGCGACAGGAAAGTCAAGCTCTTGTGCTGCAAAATGCTCATGTGATCTGCTGCACGCTCAGCACCAGTGGAAGTACTGTCCTCGAGAATGCTTTCCGTCGTCTCGGACATGAACCGTTTAGCTGTGTCATCATTGATGAGGTACCAAAATCTCTTTTATAGTTTGTGATTCCCTGAAATGTGTTTTTATTTGGTCGAATACAATTCAAGTATTACAATTATAATTTTACTTGCCTTCAATTGACATCTCCGATGAACTGAATCTCTGCTAGTGCAAAGTTAAGACAACACAATCAAAACTGCATGATGTTCGTAATGTTTTATTTGGCTCTTGTCATGGTGTGCACTTATCAGTATTTATTTAAAGAATATAAGGTGTATATCATTTTATAAATCCACTAATACTCCTAACAACTATATTTCATAGCCACTTTGTTCATCTTTGCCTATTTGTAGGCTAGTCAGGCTAAAGAAACTGAGACTCTGATTCCCATGCTGTACCGAAGTCCTGCTGTAATCCTTGTTGGTGATCCCAACCAGCTTCCACCAACAGTTGTCTCCCAGGTAACTCGCCATATTAGTCACCGAGTATTTGTGCAATGCAATTTTAAACCCAAATGGTTAGAATTTTCTTTGTAGGTCTTTTTTGTGTAGCCGACTTTCCTCTCACTTTCCTCATAAACCGTGTTACATTTATGGTATTCCCAGTCAGAAATGACAGGCCTACAAAAAAAATTTCCTATATTGTTTTTATTATGCCATGTTATTAGCAAATATTGGATTCAATCTTTTTAACTTCAATTAGCACAGGTTTTGTCATTCTTTTTGAAGCTGATTAGTCATAGGCCTCAATTATCTGAACTTATGCACTTCAGTTTTTGAGTGAACATTGAAAAAAGCATTATTTTTGGATAATTTTGGCAGTGTTCACTCAAAAGCAGACGTGCATAAGCTCAGATGATTGAGGCCTATGATCAAAAACTAATACCAAAACCTGTGCTAATTGAAAGAAAACAAGTTGATGAAAAGATTTGATCCAATGTTTGGTAATAAAATGGCATAATGAGTGATTTATAAGCCTTTTTATTTATTTATTTTTGTAGGCCGGTCTTTTTTTTTTACTTGATTGGCCGGTTTTTTTTTTTTTTTTTTTTTTTTTTTTTTTTTTTTTTCTGACGACACCAAATTAGTTAAAGGGTTTTCAGAACAGCATAAGGGTTAAATATAAGTGACCATAAAGTAAAGCTGCAGACAAAATTGTTTGTCTTTGCATTGTGCATGATTAGATTTTTTTTTTTTTTTTTGTGTGTGCACGCGTTTCAACAGAAGGCAAAGGAGTTTGGCTACGACCAGTCTCTTATGGCAAGGTTATGCAAAAGTCTTTATCCGTCAAACCCACAACTCCATCCCATCCTCCTGCTCAGCGTACAGTACCGCATGCACCCGGACATCTGTGAATTTCCCTCCAAGTACATCTACAACAGCGCTCTCAAGGACGACTGGTATGCACACATGGCTCTTTGTTGGTTTGGAGCGTTTCAACTTGTGTTGAGAGGGAGAGAGAAGAGAATGGTCTGGAATCAGACTCCTCGTCATGTTTATGATGTGTAGGCAGGGCCAGTGCAGGCAGTATGTTCTGGAGCAGACGACTAGGACCGAGTCTGAATTAAGACTCCTCAGGTCGCTGAGAGGACAGTGTGTGTGTGTGGTGAGTGCTCAACATAGTGAGCTGCTTACTGCAAACTATGTGTGCCTCTCAATCAGCTCCTGAGCTCGTGAATCAGTTTATAGTGTACACGAATCCGGTCACTGGTAAGTTCCCAGGCTCACTGCGCATTGGGACAGTGATTTACTCTGTTTCCGGCAGCATGACTACTAAGTACAAATGTGACTGCTGAGCTAGTGAGCTGATTGAGACGCACCCTATACCATCTGCAGATCTCAAGAAACGTGTTCCACTGACATAGATGTTGCCATCCTGTTTGCAGTTTACGCTCACTTTGCTGTGAAGGTCTATTCATACCGAGAATAAAATGAAAATGCAACATAAACCGCAGATGAAAGGTGTATTAAACGAGCGGCGCAAAAAAGCACTCCAGATATTCAGATGCTTTATGAGAGGTGAAGTGTGCTGCAGGAAAGATTGGAACAAATCCTACAGACTCGCTCTTTTGTGGACATGCTGGGTATCTCTGGCACTTTTGAAGTAGCTTCCAGTTGACCCAGTTGTGATGTGATGCAACCTGTGAAGTAGTTGGCAATACCCAGCCCTGTTTATCCAGTGATGGTGAGATTTATAGGAATATTCAGTTGAACAATATGGCCGTAATAGAGGTGTACTTTTTGGCATTTTATCTGGTTTGCAGCAGGATTATCATAAACTAAAACTATAAATTTAAAAAAAGTCTTATTTTTAAATGAAATGAATTTTAACAGAAATTAAATTAAAATTTTAAAAATACTATATATAAAAAAAAAAACGAATAAATGACAAATGCACAACAATTCAAATGAACTAAAACTGAAATGAAAATGGAAAATATAAAAATTAAATCTAATTAAAAGATTTCCAAAACCTAAAATAGTATATCAGTGATGATACTAAAGTAACAATGGTTTGAAGTACAAAAATAATTAAAACTAAATGAATAAATACACTATAAAAATACTATATAGACGTAAAATAAAAATGACACATGCACAACAAAATTTACAATGAACTAAAATGGAAATGAAACCAGAAAATACATTTAATTAAAAATGAATAAAAACTAAAATTAGTATATCAGTGATACTAAAATAACACTGGTTTGCTGAATTTATGGAGCAAATATTCTCTCTTGGTGTGACTAGGCCTTGAATCTTAACGCTGCATTCTGTGACGTAAAGTAGCTTCATGCTAATGCTGCTTTTTTTTTTTTTTTTGGTCTGGCTTCAGTGTTAATACAAAGGGTAACAGTCTTGCTCTATTAACAGTCGCAAAAGGACAATTTAGTTGTGCAAAAAATGTCCTAATGCCATTTATCAGGAAGAATGTATTAATTTAAATAAATGGCAAGCTGCAATTTTTTTTAAAGTGTTTTTTTAGCTAGTAATTCATCTGCATTGGGAGGTGTGGCAAAAAAATGTAGAATTTGCACCCAAGGTCATCAAGTAGAAATATTGACTTCTGATTTGTGTCCTTTTGTCCCTCAGTGAGACGGCTCAGAAGCGCCGTTCCCTCAGCTGGCCCTTCAAGCCCTACAAAGTGTTTGATGTGACTGATGGGATAGAGAAGAAGGAGAGAGAGTAAGAAAAAGACTTTACTACTTTACTTCTCGTGTCTGAACAGTTAATTTATTGTTTCTCCATTGGTCAGTTCATTTTCAAACTACAAAGAGGTCAAGTTGGTCTTGCTGCTGTTGAAGCTGCTGGGCGAGAAGCAGTCCGTGCGAGTGGGCGTCATCACGCCCTACAACGCCCAGAAACAACGCATACTGGAAGCCATCAGGGGTTCAGGCATCGAAAACAAGCAACTTCAGTGAGTGTTCAGTGTGCAACTTTACTTAAGAAAAGACGTTTTTTATAATCTTTCATCAATGTCATGTTCAACTTCTAAAACAACTTTATTGCAGATTACCACAAGAAATAATAATTAACATTGCGCTTTTGTATCTATGGTTCTATTTTTGAACCATGAATTTTGAAAGCAAACTCCTGATAATTTGACATCCTGTCAAATGTTAGGAGTAATATAGATATTATTATATATATTTTTTTTGAAAGAAGTTAGAGAATCCTTGAAGTCCTCATCAAGCCTGCATTTATTATTTATATATTTATTATATAAAGTAATATTTTCAAATTTTATTACAATTTTACAAGAACCCTTTTTGTAATTTATTCCTGTGATGCAAAGCTGAATTGTCAGCAGCCATTAATCTTCAGTGTCACATCAGCGTTTTTACAAAAATATGAAATGTAATATTAACATTTAAATATGAACATTTTATTATCTTCGCAAAATTTATAGTAATATGAACCATCATTATTAAATGAGCAGCAATCAGCAGCAATGATTTCTGAAAGATGATGTGACACTGAAGACTGGATTAATGATGCTGAAAATTCAGCTTTGCATCACAGGAATAAATTACATTTTACAGTGTTTACATAGAAAATGGTTCTTTTTAATTGTAATAATATTTCACAATATTATTGTTTTTTTTTTTTTACTGTTTTTTTTTTTTTTTTTTTT